TTCGATGATGCTATAAGAGGCAGCAGGGAAGCCATCAGCACCCTCGATAAGCGGCACGCCCACATACTCCGCCGAGCTCAGGCAAACCCTAAACCCTAAACCCTAAACCCTAAACCCTAAACCACCAGAATTTGCAGTTGCTGCTGCAGCTTCTTGTACAGCAGCAGCAGCAGCAGCAGCAGCAGCAGCAGCAGCAGCAATAGCTGCTGCTGCATCTGCAATGGGGTGTATTGCATGTCTATGAGCACCGATTGAAGGTTTCTTTTTTAGGGTTTAGGGTTTAGGGTTTAGGGTTTAGGGTTCAGGGTTTGTGTGTGCAGGGTCAGAGCGAGTTGGCTAGGGTTTGTGTTGCTGCAGCAGACCGTCAGGGGGCGTTGCTGGCGCTGCAGCGGAAGCAGCTGCTGCTGTCTGAGCTGCAGCAGCTTGCTGCTGCTCGTCTCGCTATTGAGAAGCAGCTGCTGCAGCTAGAAGCAGCACAAACACAGCATGTTGCTGTTGCTGCTATGGCTGCTGCAGCAACAGCACATAAACAACTCAATAAACACCTGTTAGAATACACTCATGCTGCTGCTGCTGCTGCTGCTGCTGCTGCTGTTGCTGCTGTTGCTGCTGCTGTTGTTGTTGTTGTTGCTGCTGCTGCTGCTGCTGTTGTTGTTGTTGTTGCTGCTGCTGCTGCTGATGGTGGTGGTGGTGGTGGTGGTGGCTGTTGTTTTTATTATTTTTGTTGCTGCTGTTGCTGGTGGTGGTGGTGATGGTGGTTGCTGCAGTGCTTGCTGCTGCTGCTGCTGCTGTTGCTGCTGCTGCTGCTGTATCTGCTGCAGCGGTTGTTGTTGCTGCTGTAGCATCTGCTGCTATTGACGGTGTTGCTGCTGCTGTTTTCATTGTTGTTGCTTCTGCTCTTTCTGCTGCTGCTGCCGCCCTTGCTGCTGCTGCTACTCTTCCTGCTGCTGCTGCAACTGCTGCTGCTGCTGCTGCTGCTGTTTGTGCTGCTGCAGCAACAGCAGCACAGTGGAGCGGCTGCTGGATGAGATGGTAGAGCAGCAAGAAACACAAAAAGAATTCGCTGAGGCGCTGCAGCAAACAGCAAACCCAGCAGAAACCGAGGCAAGGGTTTAGGGTTTAGGGTTTAGGGTTTAGGGTTTTAGGGATAGGGGCTATGGGGTTGGGTCGAAAGGGGGAGTTTTGAGGGTTTAGGGTTTAGGGTTTAGGGTTTAGGGTTTGGGGGTTGGGGTTTAGGGTTTAGGCGCTAGGGTTTACGGGGTAGGGGATTCGGCTTAGGGTTTAGGGTTTAGGGTTTTTAGGGTTTAGGGCTTAGGGTTTTTAGGGTTTAGGGTTTAGGGTTTAGGTATACGTTGAGATGCAGCTCAGGGGCCCCAGAGGCTGTTTTAATGCTGCTACCGCTGCATCTGTTGCTGCTGCTGCAGCAGCTGCAGCAGGAAGATGAGTTGCTGCGGTTGCAGCAGCAGCTACAGCTGCAGCAGCAGCAG